GCTCTTTTGAAAAATTAGAAAGGAGCAACACCCAACTACAAAGCCAGTATGACATACTGTTATGTGACCTTGAGGTCCCTGTACATCTAGTTTTCTCGTGTTACCTATCAGATGTCACAAATGGAACCTGCAATTTTGCATTGAAATGTTTCAGTGGAGCAGAGAGCAACAGTGAATATAACTCTTGGAGTATCAAGGATGAGAAGAAAATATATGCTGTGTCTATAGTGAAAAAGTACCTAGTGAACTTTTGATTTATTTTTAAAGTGATTCCCTGTCATTGTGGCATCACATGAAATAAACAAGACTCCAGTACTCTATCCAATAGGACACAAAGAAATCAAATCCCATACCAGTGAATCATAGGTGGGCCTTTACTGGATTAAAAAATGTAATAAATTCTTTCTCACATTGGAATATACTCAAAATCTTCCTCTCAGTAAGTAAGATTTCCAAAGGTCTAGCTCTGCTTGAAGCTTTGTTGAGAGTTATATACATATCGTTTCAGAGATATTAAGAATTACTGTAGTTTCCACTAGAATGACAATTCAAATAAAATGAGATTTATTAAAATTTCAAGATTTCAAGATTTTTCAAAATTTTATTTATACAGTTAAGCACAGGAAAGTATGTAACATGAGTACAAAACCACCAGGGCAAAATGGTGGCATTCTGAAGGGTGGACAGTCACATAAAAAACTAAAGTTTATTGAGAAAAATCTCACTTATTTTATTGATTTAAAAATTTGTCATTTATTCACAGTTATAATTTGTTTCTGTATAAAATTTCAGACTGTTAAATTTTTGTGGGTGCTCTAAGTGAGTAAAGACATGTTACAGAATTTTATTTAGTTTGATCACAATATTTGTTTTGATTTTGGGTTTGAATTGTTGATGTAAAAAGGTATTTATTTATTTACACCTTATTAACATATGTATGCATCAAAAGTAAAGATATTATTTTTCACGTCCACGACATACATTATAGAGTTTATAAGCACATGACATATATATTATAGTCATTGTATGTCTAGATGAGTGTATCAAAAGATATTTCGGTGGCAGTTACGAGTTTACGTAGCAAACGAGTAACGCTCACCTAAATATCGAGTGTACATGAGTCTACTGACATCCAAAAAACTGCCTTGTATCATGGTCTGTCAATCAACTGCCATGAACCAATCACATTTGTCCTGTTTTCCTGAGTACATTTTCCTGAGTACATTTCCCATCAAAAGCAATCAACAATCAATTATGAGTACATTTTCCGCCAAAAACAATGAACAATCAATTAATAGTTCAACTCGAACCCAACTTCCTGCATTGAGTTCCTCACCATTTTCATTTGTGTTTTAAAAACAGAAGGATGGCAATTTCTCTGTCTGCTAGCTCTACTCTCAATATGAAAGACCTGGATTTTTTCATGATTAGGCCTACCGCTGAATACAAGTAGGACCTTGCACAGTCCAGTGGCTTAAATAAGGTGCTGTATAATTTAGTGTGCAATAGCGTGGAAGTTATTGTACACTTTGGGTGTACAATAACTTCCAGATGGACAGCAAATCTCCCTCCCCCCAGCTAGGTATTGGTATTTATTGTACAGCCAACTACAAAGGAAAAATAGCCAGACCATGATAAAATAAAAGTAACTTTACGAAATATCTATTGTGCAAACATTTTTCATAACAGAAATTGAATAAAAATAAAGTAAAAGTTGAATTCTGGATATTTAGTGAAGTAGAAAAGCATTTCAACCAGAACTTCCCATCGTATAATCAGAAATCAATATTGATCTTATACATCATGATGCAAAATTTCCAAAACCGAACTATTTATTTTGTCACAAAATGTTTATGATGAAATAATTTAAAAAGACATATAAATGAGATTAAGTTCTTCACTCAAGGAACAGTTGTGATGAAGTAATATAATTGTAGCATCATATAAGATATAAAAAAGTATGTTCTTCTTGTAAGAAAATAAATCTAGACTCTTCCTCCATAAAAGAAACAGTCTTTTTCCCTGTGTTTCTATGGCACCCAATTGTCACACACTCTGTTTTCTCGTTTTCTCACATGTTCTTACATTCCATTTTGTGCTATTTAGTTTTTCAAATTTCTGTAAGTACAAACAAGTTGTTATAAGTACTGCATAAGATTTTTTCAAATATATTTTGTTTAGTAGTTGATTTATTTTCAAAGTAGACAATTAAACACATTACTTATTGAAGGATGCACTTTTATGAAATATAGATAAAAATCCCAGAAAACATTGAAGATATGATGAAGGTTATATTCTAATGTTTTACAGATCCTCCAGTAAATTGTGTATTCCAACACATGTAGTCTATTTCTTACTCTTTATACTAAGTATCTATGATACATATACATGGTGTTATTCTTGAAATAAAGTTTATATTAAAACATTAATTGATCCATCAAATATTCAATCATATTTTCCTTAACCTAGATACATTAGTGTTTATATTTTTGACTTATATTGTTAAAACCAGTGTCATTATCAAATCAAGGTTCTGTGTTCAGACTCAATTCCTGCTACTGTTCATTATTTTATTGGGTTTTTTTTGTTTTTATTTTTTTCACCTTTTGCAATGACTTGAAGGAATTTGGAGAGAGCTTTCAACCTGAAGGTTTTTAGTTAAAATGTCTAACTTTTCAAATTTTCAATGATTTCAGTAAGTTAAAAAAAAGAAGGGGAACGAAAAAAAAAAGCAAACACAGATTTCATGCTTCATCATGACTTTGGTTTTATCAATTTTAACACTGTTGTTTGCATGACATCAATCCAAGTCTTGCTTTCATTAGTTTTGGCAATTAACCTCCCATTTTATCATCTAATGAATTGTGTGTGTACAAATACTCTGCTTGATAACAGTTGGTTTGTGGATAGTGTGCCATACATAGTTAACCTTCGTCAGAATATCAGGGATGTTGATGTCCAATTAAAGCTTGTTTCTCTGAAGGCTGAGTAATTTCAGATCTAAAGGTTTTCTTTAAAGATCTGATTTCTACAAAGACAAATATTTTATCCATTGTCCTAAAGGAATGGGGTTAGGCTTGTCTTGTTTGTATATAACAGACAATATAGTAAAATGATTAGTTATATGAGGTTCAAATGTATTAAATTTGTAGTACTGGTACAGCTGTTTACTTGTAGTATATGATAATATGATTTTGGAGAAAACATGACTTTTAAAAGTTCTTGGAAATTGTTCTGTAAATTTTTGGTGCTGGTAATTATCATATTATGCTGTTGATATAAATTCAATCCTACAAGATATGGGTAAATAAATGTGTTCACCCAAATTTATTTGAAATAACCTTCCACTCTTCAAGCTATATGTAAGTATTGCTCTGTCAGATTGGGGTACATATTGTCTAAAAAATAAAAAAAAAAATGATAAGAAATAAAATTGTTTAAATGCATAGTGAATATTGTAAATATTGTCCACTAAGGGTCAATCAGGTTAATTAAATTCCAGAAAGAATTACATTAAATTCAGGATAGGTTATGTCCATTAATTTCAGAACAAATATTGTCCATTAAATTCAAAATAAATCATTTTCATCATATTCAGCCATACCTCACAAAGACGTAGGTATGTCTTGACATTAAACATATTTAAAATGTAAGTCTAGATATTGAGTATATATCAGAAGTTAGAAAAAGTCATAAAAAAACTATATGATTACGGACGGGTCAGGTAAAGCTTTAATTTATTGTCTTACCTGCATCAAAAAAGTCACTAAACGAGACTACTTTTCTGGTTACTATGGCATCATCATCAACATTTCACAATAAAGTTTTGTGTCAAGATCAGTTGCTCAAAAGTATAATTCTAACTGAAATCAAACTTGGTGTTTAGCAAGATCACATAGTGGACTTCTCAATACATCCATTATTTACAAAATATCTTCAGATTTTTTTGTGTCCAGCAACTCTGAAATTTCATGACAATTTAAATTTAAAATTTTAAAGTTTTGTTTTTAGCTCAGTTTCAACAACTGTTCCAATCAAAGTTGGAATATGGTTATATAGTACCTGTGACATCTGAAATCATCCTCGATACCCCAGGAGTTCATGATCTTCTTCTGCACCCCTGGAACATTTCATGGCAAATTGAAGGCAGAAGTCAAGTAATTTGATTTGTTCCAGGAGAAAAAAAACTGAACAATCACAGGCTGTTACTTTCCTTTTGAAGAGTACAAAGGTGTGACAAAGCTATTACAATATACCGTTTTGTGACCTCAAGATTTGTTTGATGTATATCAAAGGATCAAACTAGTCTTTTCGTCTTGTCCATAAGGTGTTCTACATGGAACAAAACTGTTCAGGGGTGCAGAGAGTTTCATAACCCTGAAGTATTGAGAGTGATACATGACATGAAATTTTAATTTATTTTCAGTCAAAACTTCATGAAGGAATGATTTGAAAGTCCTCATGACTTGTTCACTTCATAACTGGTTTGTGGTCTTTTTAAAACAATAACTGCTATATATCAAACAAGTGTTCCCCTCCCTCTTTGAGAAGAGAGATATTGGGGTAAAAAGGACATGCTTGTGTAGTTTTGAAAAATGAAAAGTTTTAATTGATGTTAAGCAGTGTATCATTATTTACACATGACAACAACATATCTATAGTGTTTGCATATCATTAATTAAAATCTTAGTGTACATATATTTTGCAGTTTGCTTAAAAATTACCATACTAACAACTTGGGGCAGGGAGACATTAATTACTGTGTAATTCTTGTTTATTACAAAACTCAGGAATCTGGTGAAGAGTTTTCATAAACACTTGTTTGTATGTTATTGTTTATGATAATTCTGATTTTTAAGGTTTTGTTATGTTGTTTTGAATGTTGTTTAAAACTGATATTGTTATTTTTGTTATAATAATTTAACTTAATTGTGGGAAATTGAAAGAAATTATTTGAATTCTTTTCAATTATCTAACATAATTTGTTTATTTATTTGCAGGGAATCAACTTTGATTTCTACAAACACAATTTTGACATTAGGACATGTTGCCGTGGCTCTGAAAGAAACGCCCAAAACAGTGGAGGCTGTTCTTCAGATTTTTCAGCAGCGCTTCTGTTCACCTCCCTCTGCACTTGATGTACTAATTATAGACCAACTCGGTTGTATGATCATGGCTGGCTGTGTAAGTACTAACAAGCCTTACTGTTATTATCAATTACAGTCAAACTTCGATGTTTCGAAGTTCAAGGGAGTATAAAAATAAACTTGGATACATCGAGACTTCAAATCATTTGTGGTAGGTTTTATCATGAACAAATCCAACTAATACCAAAACACAAGTTTCAATAAAAAGATGCATTTTGATCTTAAAACAAAATGTTTTTATTCATGAGAAAATAAAAACATAACTTCTATAATGTGTGCTTATAATTACATTTGTGCCTTTATATCAAACAGTATATCCATTTTACGAATCAGTTTTAAATTAATCGACACACAGCGTCAAAATAGTTTTCATGTGTTAAAGTAATTATTTTAAGACAGATACTGATAAAAAAGAAATCAATACCATAACATGTTCTGTCATGAAACGACGGCACTAACGTCACATAGTTGTAGAAATTACAAGAAGGTTTGCCGATATTTTGGCGACGGATAGTCTAAATCAAGAGAACACATGATTGATAAATGAATCACTGTGTTCCTCATGCTTTTATGCTTAAACCTCACATGATGTCCAATCATCCTCAATTAAATGTCAGTGCTTGTTAGTAAGCAATTAAACTTTAAGCTGTGTCCAGTCATTAATTAACATGATAACACATATCCGGTGATAGCAGGCTATTGTAATCCCACTGTCAGGTAGCATTCTTCATTAAAATGTGTTGCAGGGTGAAATTACCTGTACAGGTAAATGTTTTGTTTGAATCATGAGATTTCAATAACTGTGTTATCATAGCGTACAGACTAAAGAAAACTTTGATACACTGAAAAGTTTCATTTATAAAACTTTGATTCATAAAGGAGTAAGTTCGACTGTATGTTGTGTGGTTAAATATCTGCTGTATGATAATGTACAAATACGATCAGAAGAAAAGCAGTTCTTTATATTGTTAATACAGTAAGATGTTTTTGATTTTGCAGTGAAAATGTCGCTTTTACCAATGATTGAAGTAAAGCTGCTGAAATTACATTTTTATAGATTAAAATAATTGAAAATCAGGCCAGTGTGTGATCTTTTGATGTTTGGGTAAAGAAAAAAATTGAAAGGGTTAAAACCGTCACTAGACAGAAAATTGTTGTTTTTATTGAAAAATCTTATGTTGGAACTGTCTGACCATAGGTTTACCATATCTAGGATTGGATTTAATGCACATGATAATATAGTTACAAGTCATTGTATGTTTAAGGCAGTATAAAACATGTAACTTGTATGTCAAAAAAGTGTTAAGCATTATATAGGGTTCAACAGCCTCACTCTTTGTTACTTAATAGATTTATTACATATTGCTCTAGAAGTTTTCATTGGTGCACTTTTAGGTTTTATATTGTATGGATGCCCCCATTTGTTATCAAATACCTTGTTAATATACCTATGATTTTTTACATTTTTACATGAAAAAGTTAAAATGGTTTCAATGGATATTTCATCTATTGTAAAATCATTTATTTTCATGGATGATTTATTTTCTTTGAATTCTATATCTAAGACTTGATAGTCTATGAAATAATAAACAGAAAAAAAGTTGACATGGATTATAAAACAAGACAGGATTTTGTGAGCAATCTAGATCCATGAAATCAAGTGTCATAAAAAATTCTGTTTGTTTGTAAAACCATGAAATTTGAACTCACAAAAATTGATGATTTTACAGCATTTAGAAACTGTGGATTTGCCATTATTAGTTATTAAGCAGCAGCTATATGATCACATGATATGTTAATTAGTAGTGTTGTATTTCAGTCAAGTGTTTACCAGGAAGTCATGTCCATGTTCACTCAGATCAGCATTGAGAGTAGCTCTCCCTATACCAAGGGAGATATGGACGAGAAGGTCAAAGGTTACAGGTATGTAAATGTATACTCGATTACAATAATCACAAAGATCATTACGATGTCATCAGTTGTATTGTTTGTCAGTATGAATGCAATCTTGGTGACAGATGATTAGAATGACATTCTATAAGTTGTTGGAACGAATGTCATGATTATTTGTCGGTCTGCCTGATTGGTTTTGTTTTGACAATAAGTAAAATAAGACAATTATTCAAATGCTTAAATTTACACTTCAGATTTGTATATCACTTAAAATCATTTTTGTGACTGTTGAATAAAGTTAAAAATGTTTATCCTTCTATGATTATTTATAAGCTAAATGTTTGATAAAAGGTATTCTTGTGTTATCTGAGGGAAAGTGTATAAAGTAATCTTGTGTTATCTGAGGGGAAGTGTAAAAAGTATTCTTGTGTTATCTGAGGGAAAGTGTATAAAGTAATCTTGTGTTATATGAGGGGAAGTGTAAAAAGTATTATTGTGTTATCTGAGGGATCAAAGGTTACAGGTAAGTAATATACAAAGTTCAAACATATTTCAAATATTGATTCATTCAAATTTGGGTGGTCGGATAGCACAGTGTTAACACACTTGCCTTTCACCAAGGCGTCGGGAGTTTGATTCCCAGAATGGATGTGAAATGAGAATAGATGTGAAATGTTAAATGGTCACCTTCCATGCCATGTAGGTTCTCCCGAGGGGTACTTCAGTTTTCTCCCACAGAAAGACCCCTTACACACTTCCATTCAGGCAAACGAGTGATTGCTGTAAAATGAATTAATCGCATTTATTTAAATTAATTTAAATGGTTAACCAACAATGGAAAATAAATCTGAATGATAGATTAGAGGATTTTATTTTTATTTTGCAACATTGTCATCACGATGAAAGCCGTAATTTTGTTTTATTACTTGAAAGTATGGTATCTTTTTAAACTGAAAATTTAGTATTGAAAAGGAAAACAGTTTAACATTACAGTATAAAATACATCTGTTTCCTTCTCTCCCGCTGTAGGCATTTCTGTGGTGAAATGATATGGGGGTATATATGAGTTATTGTGTGTTTTCAGTTAAATTTGTATGTTTGCTGTTTGAAATTTTGAACTTTTTTTGTGATGTTTTTTTACTGATTTCAGTTTTAAAGGGACCAGTTTTGTTAACCCGTCTTTTGTAGTATTATTGGTGTTTGTGTACCAGAGGTTTCTGGACATCGTTTATGGAAAAGCTCTACTCATACCTCAGCAATTTGAAAAATTAAAAAAAAAAAATAAAAAAGAAAAGAAGAAAAACCTAAAAATATCAAAACTGAAAGGAATACAATAATTTCACTAAATATTCTTTATTTGTGGGAAAGTTTTGAAAAGTGTGGCGACTTTTGAAAATAATTCAATTTTGTGAAATTTTTGATATGGATATAAGTACATTGTACATATATCTAATTGGATCAGCCAATCTTGATCCATCATGAAGTTTGATTTTAAAATGTTGTATGTGTAAGATACCTGGGCATCACAGTCCACAAACATTTGTGTCTTAGACTCAGAATTGACACGAAATGATAGATGACAATCATACTAAATTTTCCAATGTCCGTCATGTGCTTCAGAACAAATACATGTGTCTGTGATTAGTTTTGATGAAAAGGATAATGAGTATTTAAAGATTTTAGATTTTTTTCAATGTTTGGTCAGAATGAGACTGATACTTTCTGATTGTGTAACAAATTATTTATTCTAGGTATTCTGTATTTAGCAATAATTTGCCATATGTGACTTTTTTCTGGTTTCTCACAGTAGAATGTAAGACAGGTTTGACTTCATGTTTAAAATTTAGCAATATATTTATATCTACTTTCAAAGGTTGAAGAAACTTGATAAAGAATTAGCTTTGATATTTAAATTTCAGATTTGAGTTATGCATGAATTTTAAGTTTTTGTGTTATTTGCTTCAATACATTTCAGACAAGTGTCTCTGGCAGTGATTAATGCCTTGGCTAATATCGCGTCCAATATCCAGGGGGAGGGAGACCAGCAAGAACTTCTGGTCCGGCTGCTGGAACTCTTTGTTAATATGGGTCTCGCTGCAAAACGTGCTAGTGAAAAAACTGCAGGTGCCATGAAGGTAAAGTTTGATTAAAGGAAGAAGAAAGCATGACTTTATTATATAATATTTTGTTGTCACACCAAATATTTATCATTTTATGTGGTATTTTATTTCGTTTGTAGTTATTAATTACTTACAGAGAACTAACCTGAGAATGATTAACAAAAATTCTTTAGAATAATCTGTTCTCTTGGGATGTGATGATTTCTTGATATCTTAATATTAATGTTAGAAATTTTCTTATCATCTTACTAATGATGTTCTTTCAATGAATTATATTTTTTTCATTTTAAACTGGCTAATCATAGAAATAACATAGTGTTGATAATATCAAGTAATATTTATAATTAAGTATTTAAATTATGAACCTGTAGAGAAAAAGAGACTTCACTCTGTACATTATTTAAATCAGATAAAATGACAAATTTGATGTCTTTTTAGTTTTCATGAATTATCATTTCTTCTTTTATAAAAATATCAGTTAAAACATCAGCTGAATGATATAATAGAATACTTAGTAACCTTGGAGGTAAGTATACTGTACTGTTGAGGAGTTTTATGTTTTTTAAACAGATTGGATTTTTATTCAGACTGTTTTTTCACAAAAGCTCTCAATTTACGCTCTATTCATTAATAAAAAAGAAATCTTTGTGTAAAGTATGATAAGAGATGGGGTTTGAGGGACTGTTGTAAAACAACATCTAGTTCACTGACAGATCCTTGATAATATTAATTAGTATAACTTTTGGGACAAAGGTTCAGTTTCAGATCAAATCTAACTATATAGGGCGATTCTTGATATGTGGAAATTTTTGTTTATTTATTTCAAATGCTAAGTAATTATATGGGATAAGTTTTGTCATTCTTACAAAAATTTAAAGTTACTGAGCTTAAGTATCTTTTTTGAAGGCAATATGCTTTCTACTGGTCTAACGATAATGTCCCAAGTTGATTATGACATTGATACTGTTGAGCTTTCATCACTGTATGGTTATATGGTAGTCAGTTTTGGAAGTGGTGGAATGGTTCAATTACTTTCCATGTTTTTACTAACCTGTTCCTGTTGCTATCCTGGTTAGTAAATGTCTGTAGCCACTCAGAGTTTGTTGACAATGCATGCAAGACAAGAAACTTTTATTTTGGTTGTTTTTGTTTGTTTGTTCGATTTTTTTTATTGTGTTTTTGTTGTTGAAAACATATTATATTTGACAGTCTCTCAGATTATACAGAGAGTGCATGCAAGACAATAAACCTCTTTATTTTTAATTTTTTTTTCCCCATTTTCCTTTTTTATTTTTTTTATTTTGTTTTTGTTCAAAAGTAATGTTTCACAAGGCAAGTATTAAAAGGACAAATGATCACTGGTTTAGGAGAGTCTGTAGGGTTTATTGCCTTGTGAACAGACAAGGTCATTTTGAGGTGGATCTCCGTGTAGTAGCTGGTTATTACCAACAACACACTGGAGGCATGCCTCATGACATCCAGAACAATTAAGAGGAAATGGCTTGTCCATGTACACAACCATAGCAGCACAGACCAGCTTCTAGAAAAATACAATCCCTCATGGGAAGGGAGTGTAATGTTTATACCATATCAAGTAATGGCAGTTGGATATGGGATAACACAGGGACTTTACTGGTGAAGTGTGAATATTTCACATATTACCTATTTCCCTAGTACATGCAAATGAAGAGTATATATATATACACATTATTATGTATAATGATATCAGTAACTTTTTCTTCCAAATCCAGAATCAATAAATATTCTTTCTTTTGATAAATTATGGTAATGAAAGTGAGAATTATGTTAAAATATAATCAAATTTCTTTGAAAGTTGAATGTATTTCTCATTTAAATACATAATGATCAAACATTTCAATAAAAGTTGAAATTGATGAGTACATACCATTATGAATTGTTTATATTGATACCGACATACATAAGGATCAAGTGTAGATGGATACATGCATGCTCTAGAGTATTGTTTCCAGTTTGATTAAATTTGATGTGTTCTTAGATCTGAGATGTATTTTAGACATAACAATGTCACAGTGACCTATATTTTCTCCTTCTTCGTGAGCAAGGAGAAAATATAGGTCACTGTGACATTGTGGTTGTATTTCAATTGACTCAATCACAGAGGCTATAACATTTCCTACGCTCCTATGTCTTGTGGCGATGATATGTTACATTCTATGTAAGCAATTAGAGAGAGTTTATAAACACATACAGTGGTAAACATCCTCCAAATTTCTGAATACATGAAAAAAGTGACAAGATTCATTGTATTTGTTAAGTGTATCATTGTAGTTATAAAACTGTGTGGAAGGTATCTTATTTGTTGCTATTACACAGAGTCTTCATAAACGATTAAGTACCAATTCCATTGACTGGAATGAATTGCTAAACCCCCACATGGGATAAGAGACTTCATCTAATATCGCTTTTGTCTGTCTGTGTCCTACAATGACTGTGTTGTATTCTAATTTTGATTTTGCTTGGCAATTTCTGAAATCAAAACTCAATTTCTTTTGACATACACCATACTGTTTATTGGGTCATAATCCCCTCCTGAATTTATTTCATTCAGAAATGCAAAAGTTTGATGTTATGAAACTCCTCACTGGTAAAATATTTAGTTGTTATATACTCTGTACTGTTACATATTAAATGTTTCGTTAGTAAGACTTTCACAGTGAGACCTATATATTAAATGTTTCGGTAGTAAGACTTTCACAGTGTGACCTATATATATATTAAATGTTTCGGTAGTAAGACTTTCACAGTGTGACTTATATATATATATTAAATGTTTCGTTAGTAAGACTTTCACAGTGTGACCTATATATATATATTAAATGTTTCGGTAGTAAGACTTTCACAGTGTGACCTATATATATATTAAATGTTTCAGTAGTAAGACTTTCACAGTGTGACCTATATATATATTAAATGTTTCGGTAGTAAGACTTTCACAGTGTGACCTATATATTAAATGTTTCGGTAGTAAGACTTTCACAGTGTGACCTATATATATATTAAATGTTTCGGTAGTAAGACTTTCACAGTGTGACCTATATATATATTAAATGTTTCGGTAGTAAGACTTTCACAGTGTGACCTATATATATATTAAATGTTTCGGTAGTAAGACTTTCACAGTGTGACCTATATATTAAATGTTTCGGTAACTTTCACAGTGTGACCTATATATTAAATGTTTCCATATAACAAGACTTTATCAGTGTGACCTATATATTAAATGTTTCTAATTAGACTTTTTTAAAATGTGACCTATATATTAAATGTTTACCTAAAAAGTTTTTCACAGTGTGACCTATATATTAAATGTTTCGGATACATGCATAAACTTTCACAGTGTGACCTATATATTAAATGTTTGGGAATAATCTTTCACAGTGTGACCTATATATATATAAATGTTTCAGGTGTCTAGAGACTTTCAACATCAAACATATATATATTAAATATTTCGGTAGTAAGACTTTCACAGTGTGACCTATATTTGCCAACATTGTGGAACTTCTCTACACTTCATCTTAACAGACTAATACCATATAACAAGATCATTTATCCTGTTCTTTCCATAAGACTAATTAGATTTTTTTAAAATGTGAAAAAATTTGAAGATTTACCTAAAAAGTTTTGTTCCAAATTGGGGTCAAGTTAAACATATATATAAAGACAGGTGTCATAAATATTCTTCATCAAACATATATATGGACAGGTGTCTAAAATGTTACCATCAAACATATATATAAAGACAGGAATAATCATAGAGCATAGATCAAACATATATATAAAGACAGGTGTCTAGAGATGTAGAACATCAAACATATATATAAAGATAGGTGTCTAGAGATGTTGAACATCAAACATATATATAAAGACAGGTGTCTAGAGATGTAGAACATCAAACATATATATAAAGACAGGTGTCTAGAGATGTAGAACATCAAACATATATATAAAGACAGGTGTCTAGAGATGTAGAACATCAAACATATATATATAAAGACAGGTGTCTAGAGATGTAGAACAACAAACATATATATATAAAGACAGGTGTCTAGAGATGTAGAAATATAGCATGATGTGTATAAGAAGGTAATTGTGTATTCTTAAACTTCGATTTCTATGTTTCAATTTTGTGTCCTTCAATCCTTCAATTGGCGTGTTTGTGTCAAACTCTACTCCTTATAACAAATTTGTATCAGGATGTTATCTACTGGATGTACAGTCTTAAGTTGATGCACAGAATTTTAAATCTCAGGATATAGGACTAGAATGCTTTCAGTTTGTTACGTCAACATTTCTCAGCTGAAAGTTTGAAATGACAGGTTGATGATATCAGTTGTATGGAGAATACAGATGGTGAAACAAATGTCAATGCTTTTAGCAAACTCAAAATATATACATAATAATTGGATACAAAACAACACGTTGTCAAGAGAATTAACAATAATTCTTCTGTATGATAAATACATCTAGTATTGATAATCTTGTCAGAGATAACAAAGATGTAGATTTTTCTGTTCATAAACTATAGAAATATATTCATTGTTAAATGCCATTTTGGTCATCACAATTTGTTGTTGATCTAAAAGATTTTCATATATTTCACAATAGAAAATCCTTTTTCCTTTTTTTTATTTTTAGGCATCCAGCAGTGCTGGTAATCTGGGAGTTTTGATTCCAGTCATAGCAGTGGTAAGTACAGGCCAGCTCAGACCCAGTGTTCATTAACTTATTTGTAATAATCATCATATGATTTCTTCTAATTCTTTATTTCTTTAACAAGGATGTTTCATAACTGACCTACTTGTTTTTGCAGGCACCATCAATCTTGTTTCTGTAGTACTAGGAACCTCTCAGTGATAAATTAATTTGTCATACTAGTTGTAAAGACACAGAACAGGATCTGTTTACTATTGTATAATGTTTCATCTCGGCATAAGTTGTTTAATTGAATGTCATTCTGATCAAGATTGCCGTTTCTCACATAATTCACAAGCTCATCCTGTGGTTACTAGGGTTGGAATAAGTCTTATCTCATACAGGCTAGGGAAGAGAAATATCACATGCTTTGATGCTACTCACAATATGTTAGCGTCTTCATTTTATATGGCATTACCATGTCATGAATTAATGATATCATCAGTTTCAACTTTTCTGTCATGGGACATTGATGATGGCAGAATGAATAGGTTTCACAGCAACTTGGAATTTGTTACCTTTTTGAAAGTATGTGTATAATTAAACAAATTCACAAACAGGTTTTTGGGAGGAGGCCATACTGTCTATTTTCATCAAATTTTAGCACAATATCATTTTGAACAAACAAGCATACTGATGAATTCTCACAATTCCAAGAATTGCTGTATTAATGACATACAGAAACTGCAATTAGTGCAAGATATTTTAGCAATATCTCAGGCGCAAAAATTTAACCGCTGAAATAAGACAACAGCTAAAGTAATATGTTTACAGTAACTTAAGAGCTAATGGTAAATTCTGTTAAAACAACCTCACAAATTTGGTGCTGAAATTTTGATAGAACAATGCAGCCTGTGATTATAGATAAGACAGAATATGAAGACCTGTAGCTGATGTAAGAAATTAGCAAAGGATTCTTTTCTATATTATCAATGTGATGTTTGTACCTACAGTTGGTGAGGAGACTACCTGTGATACATGAACCCAGGCCTCGTCTCCAGAAGTTGTTTAGAGATTTCTGGCAGTACTGTGTTGTGTTTGGCTTTGTAGTGGAGGAATCAGGTAACTTCATAATATAAAGTTATCTCTAGTAACAAGATTACCTCCCTTGGTTAAGAAAACCCACTTATTACACTATACTTTTTCCTGGTTAGAGTTGACTAATTGAACATTATATTTAAACAGACATTTTATATGTCAGTGGCTTTTAGTAAATTTTTCCCTAATGTTTATTCATGGAAAACAAATCATTAACATACACATATAATGTAAAGTGATGTAATTTTATAGTTGGAATAAGATTCCTAAAATATCCAAAGTCTGTTTGCTTTGTTACCTGAAAACATTTGTGGTCCATTTTAGTAATGCATTGATAGCATGTTGATTTAGAGGAGCATGACTTCAGATTTAGATAGAGACTCATGTTGTAAGACTTCAGTGATTGTCAATGTTACATGATACAGCACTGTGGCCTCCGGAGTGGTATGATGGGGTCTGTGAGATAGCCGCTAAGTCACCACTCCTCATCTCCAAGGAACATCTCCGGTCTGAGCTTCAGTACAATGTTGCTCTCAGGAATGACACAGTAGCACCAGTAAGTCTTACTCAATAATAACAATTGCATTTTTGAGTTCTTTTTTTAAATGTCTATATTTACTGGTTTTTATACGCAGATTGAATATTTTTATTTGTCCTTTCCTTCGCTGTAAGCCTGTGTAGAGATTTCCTATCTCAGTTTTTCTACTGATCTCTTTAAAACTTCTTATACAGCAAAACATATAGCACTGAAGTATCTTTGTTGCATTTTGATTGAAGAATTTTCGAGAGTTATTGCCCTTCATTTTTCTAGCTATTCTTTCAAACTTTATAGACTTTATAATAATTGTATAATGTTGTGCTTTCTTATTGATTAGACAGTTTTCCATATTTGTGTTAATTTCAATAAAATTGCTGTATTTCTCTGTTTTATAAGATTGACATATAATATTCTGTTAACCCACCCAGTGTACTCTTGTTTGAAATTATAACAAAGTGTTATGTGTGTTGTAGGCAGAGTTGAATGAGATCAGGACAAGCATCTGTAACTCACTTGATAACAACCCTGATGCTTACCCTCTTATACAGAAACTCTCATTCGCACAGTGTACATACCTTATGTCTGTCTTTAAGCTAGAAACACTCAGGTGAGTACAATTGGTTAATAGCATTGGTTTGCATTTTGTTTTTACATAATGTGCTTCATAGTCAGACCTATGCTATTGTTAATTTTTGACAGTTTTTCAATCTCAGATAAACATTTATCATTACAGTATTAAGTTCTATGTGTCTCTGTCAAGTATACTGGACAAGACATAAAAAAGTTTAATTAAATAAAAAAATCAATATTTGAAGGAAAGTATATATGTAAAGTAATATGAAAAATATATTTGTTTTGTTGTAAAAATGAGTTTACGAAAAGTATTCTAAAGCTAAATGGGTTAATGCATCTTGAAAATGACCTTCCAACCCCCTCACTGTTTTAATGAGAGTCTATAGTGTACCAATGTCCCTTCATCTTGTTGTATCCTGCTCTATCTTGAGAACCTTTCAACAGATTTGGCCCATATTTTTTCACCATATCATTATTCTTATCCTATTAAAGTGGTCATAGGTCAAGGTTAAAAAGTCAGTGTTCACATTGGTCATCTTTACAAATTCATCAGACAGTAATAAATGCTCAGAGCTGAGGATGTTCATGTCTCACTGACATTTTCTGGTTTTCCATTCAGTGCTGAGATTGAAATAAAGTTGCTTTAAGTATTTTTGTTTAAAAAGGTCAGATGTGTTGTCAGATAAAACAAAAAAAAAAAAACTCCAAAAAACCCAAAAAGTGAAAGTTTTTTATCAATGTTTAAATAAAATTTTCATTTGTAAGATGAAACTTTCAGTTGCCACCTTTCTGGTCTTGATGTAGCTGCTGATTACGTGGACCGCTTCAATATATTTCTGTATTTTTCAGAGTCCAGAATTCAGATTATTTATCAGCATTCCATGGCATATTCAGATACCTGGAAGATAGTACGATCTTCAAAGACAAAGCAGGTGAAAGTGAAAGCATTTTGAGATTTTTAACATACAATTTGTTATATAATGTTAATATCAGATTTTAAATGTAATGCTTTTCAGTAAAAATGGGGCCTATACCTTAGGATTGTAATGTTGTAAGCTTAGCCAGGCTTATATCTTTATTCCTTCTTGTTAATGTTATATTCAATGTACACATAACATCATATATCATCATTTCATATTCACTTTTATTTCCTTATTAATGATGTTGCTGCTTTACAAACAATTTGAACTTTTTAAAATATTAAATATGAACACACAATTGCGTAACAAGTTGTAGGCTTATATCAGTCACTCTTGGAAGAGTGTAAGGAAACCGGAGACACAGGGAAAAACTCTAATGGTTAGGCATGTGACACCTGACAACTCATGAACTTTTCATGAAGGACTATCAAGTACAAGAGTTCCTTACTTGTCCAATATCTGGTTAAAACCCTTCAAAATCAAGGGTGACAGAGTGTGAAAAGGGTATCAAAGAAAAAGACCCTGTTATCAATTCTATTGTATAGCTTTCACATTTGTATGTATGTAGAGGATGTTCTTTGTTCTTTATGTATTATTTGACTCTATTTGATCCAAAGATAGATTTTCATGTTTTAAAATACTGATCCAAAATCAAGAAACATCAGGTGACTTTTTTCGTGATTTAAATATATTATGATATGACCAATACCAGGTTGACTGGACAAAATCAGGTAACTTGGTAGAATTTATCTTAATTTTAAAGGCTAGGTGAATCTTTATGTCACAGAATTTTTAGACAGGACTTCATTTACACATTACTCACGTATGTGGTAGAACATTGATACAGCAACAGTATGTCAATAACATTTACTCACTATCTTCTAGGTATGTGGCAGTGTATTGTAGCTGTGTCGGACAAGGTGTTTGACAAACTACTGGATACGCTTGAGGAACGGGTATGTAAATATTTGGTCTGTTATGTCCTATTCTACATTATTATAGCTATGCTTGGTTTGTTGTATGCTTTTAAAAGAATTGATAACAATGTTCAGTTCTCAACAGTTCTAAAGAAATTGACTTCATGAAGAAATTTGAATAATGGAGTGATTTATACCAGTTCTGAGCCCCCAGCTTCCTTCACCCCAAGTATACAGTACTAGAGAGTGGATGGAGAGAAGAACCAGTGCCAGTATCTCTATCATATATTCAAATTCCTCTCTATGAATAAAGAACATTAAATCTTTTTGAAACTGGCAATATTTATTTTGATTGGTTTCCATATAAGGTGTTATATGGTAATGGGTCTATTTATCTTCCTTAGCCTAAGACAGTGGCAAGGGGAGAGGAACTAGAACATCATGCCCAATTCCTCATGGTCAAGTTCAACCATATCCATCGTCGTATCAGAAGGGTAGCTGACAAGTACCTGGCGGGCCTGATCGATAGGTAGGTATATAATCTTATATTGGTATAGATACCTACTTATAGCAGAGTAAGAGACATTTGTACTGAGTGACCAGAGATAGTGTAATAATACATAGTGTTTGTGGTGAAAAAGTGATTGTGTTAGTATAATAATACATAGTGTTGGTGGTAAAAAGTGATTGTGTTGTTTGTTGGGAGATAGTGTAATAATATGTAGTATTGGTGGTAAAAACTGATTGTGTTATTGTAATAATACATAGTGTTGGTGGTAAAAAGTGATTGTGTTAGTATAATAATACATAGTGTTGGTGGTTAAAAGTGATTGTGTTAGTATAATAATACATAGTGTTGGTGGTAAAAAGTGGTTGTGTTAGTATAATAATACATAGTGTTGGTGGTAAAAAGTGGTTGTGTTAGTATAATAATACATAGTGTTGGTGGTTAAAAGTGATTGTGTTAGTATAATAATACATAGTGTTGGTGGTTAAAAGTGATTGTGTTAGTATAATAATACATAGTGTTGGTGGTTAAAAGTGATTGTGTTAGTATAATAATACATAGTGTGGGTGGTTAAAAGTGATTGTGTTAGTATAATAATACATAGTGTTGGTGGTTAAAAGTGATTGTGTTAGTATAATAATACATAGTGTTGGTGGTTAAAAGTGATTGTGTTAGTGTAGTAATATGTAGTGTTGGTGGTAAAAAGTGATTGTGTTAGTATAATAATACATAGTGTTGGTGGTAAAAAGCGATTGTGTTAGTTTAGTAATATGTAGTGTTGGTGGTAAAAAGTGATTGTGTTAGTGTAGTAATAGGTAGTGTTGGTGGTAAAAAGTGATTGTGTTAGTATAATAATACATAGTGTTGGTGGTAAAAAGTGATTGTGTTAGTATAATAATACATAGTGTTGGTGGTAAAAAGTGATTGTGTTAGTATAATAATACATAGTGTTGGTGGTTAAAAGTGATTGTGTTAGTATAATAATACATAGTGTTGGTGGTAAAAAGTGAAAAGTGATTGTGTTAGTATAATAATACATAGTGTTGGTGGTTAAAAGTGATTGTGTTAGTATAATAATGTATGTAGTGTTGGTGGTAAAAAGTGATTGTGTTAGTATAATAATACATAGTGTTGGTTAAAAGTGATTGTGTTAGTATAATAATACATAGTGTTGGTGGTAAAAAGTGGTTGTGTTAGTATAATAATACATAGTGTTGGTGGTTAAAAGTGATTGTGTTAGTATAATAATACATAGTGTTGGTGGTTAAAAGTGGTTGTGTTAGTATAATAATACATAGTGTTGGTGGTTAAAAGTGGTTGTGTTAGTATAATAATACATAGTGTTGGTGGTAAAAAGTGATTGTGTTAGTGTAGTAATATGTAGTGTTGGTGGTAAAAAGTGGTTGTGTTAGTGTAGTAATATGTAGTGTTGGTGGTAAAAAGTGGTTGTGTTAGTGTAGTAATATGTAGTGTTGGTGGTAAAAAGTGGTTGTGTTTTTAATGTTCTGCACTAATGATCGGGATTGAAGTGATTAACATACAGGATTTATTCTAATTAAAATGCCCTCAATAATCTTATTGATAATGTAATAAGTTTTAGCTGATGTGTTCCTAGGTCGAGTGACAACTGTGTTGTCACTCTTACAATAATTCTAAAATTTGCTTTTCTGTAGTGAAAATATTGAGCTTGAAATGACTGCTATATATTTGTGGTTTAGCTATTTTCTGCGCTGGTATTTAATGGGATCACTGAGGCTGTCAGATATATGGGTACTTGTATGTTGTATGTGGGTTTCATAGAAAACGTGCGATGGGTCTTGGTATGATGATTAGTAAGGTAGCCATTGATGTGGATAACATAGTGGGCCTCCTGCATTATGTTCAGTGTGATAGCATAGCTTTGGATAACTGTAACACCAGTAGTCAACTGACCATTGTTCAACGTCACTCTGTCGAAAAGTCAAGGTTAAATTTTAAATATTTTCATGTGTATACTGACAATAAAAATGGAATGGTTAAATTTACCCTCAAAGGTCAGACATAAAACCAGGCCGTTTCTGACATGTCTGTGTTTTAGTTTGTTTTCCAGATAATCACTTAATTGAATTAGGGATGACAAACTTGATGAAAACTTCATACAGTATTAAGCACTAGGGAGTGCATATAAAGTTTTTGTGCATTATTTTCCGGTTTTTGCTTCTTTCCTGTCAAGACACTAGTTTTTGGAGGTAGGACGTTTATTTGTTAAAATGAGACATCTGTTCATTGCTGAAAAGGTCTATGTTACTTAAACATTTAATTAATGGCAGGAGACGGATGTTTGTTTTAAGTTTGTGAATGTTTTTTATATGATAAATATGTGTAGTAGCTTTAATCTTTTATTATACCTTAAGATGATGTTTACTTCTCTGTGATACAGGTTCCCTCACCTGTTCTGGAGTGGTACAATGCTGAAGAGTATGTTAGATATACTACAACTTTTATCAAAGGCTCTGGAAATGGTATGTATTGAGGCTGGACCTGTGCTAAGTTCTAGTAATACAGGTCCAAACTATAGTATGATATATTGATACACAACTGTAACCCTGGTAAAATACTAGCCACAATATACTGCTCAGCTAGAGAGAACTTCTCTTTAGCTCAGTAAGTGTAGCCTTCAGACTAATATGTCAGGGGTCTCATATAATTAAGAACAAAAACAAAAGAAAGACGATAAATAAGGGGAAAGATCCAAGGGTTAAAGAATAAATGCAAATCAAACAATAATGGTTAAATCTCTATTGTTATCTGGTACTATACAGATATATTTTAGATGTTTCTTGTGCTGTTTCCAGGACCCTAATCAGGATGCACCAGAATTTCAGGTGCCTAACTCACCATTCCATCTGAGGGTCCCAGACAACTTGACAGACCGAGAGGTGAGGAGTCTATAACTAATATATATCTATAGGGTTCTGATTAGGAATCATGTCTGACGCCATTTGGAATTTTTTTGTTTAAATTAACCTTATCATCATCTTAGAAAAAGGGTTCTTTATGATCTTATGACATGCACTCTTTAGTTAATCCTTTTAGATAAGTTAACAAAACTTTGTTGTACAACTATTTCTAAAACTCCCAGAATGCTTCAGTAATAGTATTATATTATGGATTGAACCACTCTATGTGTACATTTGATATGGAGAATAAATATACTTACAGACACTGGTAAAGGATTTCGCCTTACGCTGCCAGTCCATCCTGCAGGAATCAATGAAATGGGCGCCCAATACGACTCGGTCACACATGATTGAATATCTGTTGAAGATGGAGAATACGTCCCAGGGCTTGTTTACACACAGTGGACTGGCGTTAGCGACAGAGAGTGTCCTAAACTATGCTGGCTACAACAAGTCAGCAGCTCCTCTTGGGGTAAACACCGTTCATTTTCCTCATGTAAAACGACAAGCTGCAGACTTATCCTTTCACCAAGAAGACACACACATATATAAATTATAGAGTGCATATCAACTTTTCATATGTTTCAAACTGGAAACCAAAAACAAAGAAATAATTCATATGTTAATATAAGGTAACTTAAACCTAATTTATCTCCATAAATCTTAGCCCTAGTCTGGATTTTTAGTGGGATGATTTTGTGGAGAATAGATTTTAAGTTACCATGGATTTCAAACCAAAAGAAAGACTCTTATGCTACAAAACGTGACAAGCTTTTCATCAGACATCGTAATACCATTTCATTATTTCTCTTATCCTGTTGGTTCTCTTAATATACACTTTTGCCTAACCCAGCAGAAATGGTTCAAGTGGCCCAAAATTAATCCAGGATATTCAAACGCACCTAAATCAGATGTTGGAAATGTTATATGTTAAGCTCAAAATGCACATTTTAGAATTTTCTGTTTTAAATAGACACATAATATGAACCAATATGTTCTATGTTAAGCTGTACTGAATATCATGTTATTTCTGGATATGTATATGTGGGCATGACATCCTGAAAACTAATGATAGTCAGCTAGTTAGCTTCCGATAGGTACGGCTGTACCCCTCAAACAGTATGTGTCAAATATTCTGCAGTCCAACCTTGGTTCTGCTTTATGGTGGTATTTCCCCTACAGGTCTGTAATGTTGATTTCAAACAGCTGTTTTATCTACATTCATGTTTCTCATTGGACATGTGTTTCTTGTATACGAAAAAGCTTGGCATTATCTTTTTTACCTCTTAAATATTTACTGAAATGTTCAATTTGTTTCATATTTACTTATCTAACAATGTATGATTACAGACTGCAACGCTGGATCGTCGTCCCAACTGTGTTACTACAGATAGCTCTAGTTTTATGGCCACTTTCAGCCTCCGTAGTCGGTATACAGGAGAGGTAAGTCTGTGAAATCAAATACTCAGACAATATTAGAAGATTATTTTATATTTACCACAAGAGCAAGGTAATTGGATGTGAATTGTAAAATTCCATGTCTTATACATGTCTTTGTATATTTATATTTAAGGTGTCCGGGATGAAGTCTGTTTGTGATGAATCAGAACTAGCTAAGATGTTATGTGACAAACTGAAGACAGCACTTCAAAATGGCGGTAATTATCAGCTTTGTTAGTTTTGCGACTTTAAAGCTTACAAAATTAAAAACAAATCACAGATTCCATGTAATCCATCAGAAATCTGAGACAAATGTTGTTACTTCATAATTTAGTGTGTTGTAATTTCAGATGAGAATAAGTGCAAGCAAGCCATGTTTAGAGTTTGTGCCCTGTTGGTGTCAGTGAAAGGTAAGATTTTATCTTCCCTTAGAGGTGTAGTTGGGATGGTAAACACCAGAGGTCAGTGGTGAAACTAGATGTTACAAGCAAGGTTTCATTTATAATTGGTGTTTGAAACTCATATTGTTGATGCTTGTGGTTTTTCACTGACATTTGTTATTTAATCTGACAATGGTGATAAAAATTTCCCATAGACTACCACTGACATTACCCTGTTATATTAGACAATGGTGATAAAAGTTTCCCATAGAATACCACTGACATTAGTTATTTAATCTGACAATGATGATAAAAATTTCCCATAGACTACCACTGACATTACCCTGTTATATTAGACAATGGTGATAAAAGTTTCCCATAGACTACCACTGACATTAGTTATTAAATCTGACAATGGTGATAAAACTTTCCATAGACTACCACTGACATTACCCTGTTATATTTGACAATGGTTATAACACTTTCCCATAGACTACCACTGACATTACCCTGTTATATTTGACAATGGTGATAAAACTTTCCCATAGACTACCACTGACATTACCCTGTTTTATTTGGCAATGGTGATAAAACTTTCCCACAGACAACAACTGACATTACCCTGTTATATTTGACAATGGTTATAACACTTTCCCATAGACTACCACTGACATTACCCTGTTATATTTGACAATGGAACTTTACCATAGACTACCACTGACATTACCCTGTTATATTTGACAATGGTGATGGAACTTTCCCATAGACTACCACTGACATTACTCTGTTTTATTTGGCAATGGTGATAAAACTTTCCCACAGAGAACAACTGACATTACCCTGTTATATTTGACAATGGTTATAACACTTTCCCATAGAACAATGGAACTTTACCATGACATTACCCTGTTATATTTGACAGTGGAACTTTACCATAGAGTAAAGACTAGTAGTTTCTACATAGGGGTTGCCTCTTTGATGATTATAGAAATGATGTATGAAATGTCACTAGTCTGATGATTCCTTGATTAATGACTGACTTCCTGATTCCATGAATTATGTTTTTAACAGAGATTGTAGACAATTGTATGAAGAAGATTTTTCATGTTAAGACAAAAGGAATTCTTTATTTACAGCTGAACAGGTAAAAAATTGTTGAGTAAATTTCATCAGTGAAAAATAACATAATAAATACTTGTTACCTTGATGATGAAATGAATTTAGTAATTATCGCTTTACAGACTTTAACAGGCGCTTGGTGCATGCCTTGTGCTGGGCTCCGACACAGAACTTCACTGAAAGGATAATGGAATGTACTGTCTCCTGTTGGGAGTGGATGTTGGCTGCTCGGCCAGACTTCAGCATAGAGGTAACAAAGAATGAAAACTGTCAATAGTGTCTTTACTAAAATTGCTTAAGGATTATTTTTAACCATGATGACTAAATTTATTATGAATAGAAAATTGATTACCATCTTATTACAGATTTTAAGTTAATGTGAACACAAGGCCATTAATCTTCCATTAAGGTGTGCATGAAATGTCTAAGTTGCCACTTTGCTGGTCATAAAGAGTGTAAACAAATTACATTACTTCCAATGGAGCTCTTAATGATTGGCAACAAATAATAATAATTAATTGATTATAATAATCTTTAAAGAAGGAACTGTTTGAATATAGAATGAAAATTATATGTTATTGTGTTATCATTCTGTCCTTGAAGTTCTTGTGTGAAATGGCAGCAGCCTGGCAGATAACCATAGACAAGAAGCTCGGGATATTCCAAGAGGACCCACCCAGAATTGATCCTCTGGCCAAAGCTGAGGGACAGACATTGGAACCCAACCCTCCACACTCAGGGCCTCACCAGATCTGGACGAAGGTGAGAGGAACTAGTTTATTCTAGGTTATATACTGTCTGTAATGTATACAAAAGGAATTCAGTAAGTTCAAAGAAATTGTTTTATTTCATTCTTCACTAAGTGTATCATGTTATAATTATGGAAGTTCATACAGGTTTTTCAAATTTGTTGATGTTCTGATGCAGTTTTTGGCAGAACGTATTGAAGTAGCACGCTACAGCTCTGATGATCAGGTCAGCATTCTGTGTAGTCTCCTCAACAAGTCTCTGGCCATCGGTGTGGGAAAACAACCTAGTCAGATCTCACGACATCCTGCTGCAGTAGGCCCTCGAACAAGGTAAGATACTTCACCAAATATCCTAGTCAGATCTCACGACATCCTGCTGCAGTAGGCCCTCGAACAAGGTAAGATACTTCACCAAATATCCTAGTCAGATCTCACGACATCCTGCTGCAGTAGGCCCTCGAACAAGGTAAGATACTTCTCCAAATAACTGACTCATATCTCACAAAATTCTACTACGCTTTGCCCTTTCACAAGATAAAATACTTCACCAAATATCTGAGACAGACCTCAAAACATCCTGCTTTAATCGGCCTTTACACATGGTAAAACACTTCACAATATAACGGAGGCAGATCCCACATCCTGTTACTTTTGTCCCCACACAATGCAAGACATTCCATCAAACAACCTTAACAGATATCCTGACATTGGCATCATAAGGCAATTTTCCAAAACCACCCAGTCAGATCTCATGACATTGCTCCACAATCTGCCCCTGAACAAGTTAAGGCAATTTACCAAACCACATAGTCAGATCTAATTGACATGACATATGCCACAATCGACCCTTGCACAAGGTAAGACACTTCATCTAACTTATAAATATATATAAATCTAACTTATCCAATTTTGGGATTAGTATTTTTGTACAGGTTAATTATGTGAAACTTGATTGATAATTTGCAATAAGAGAATTGTAATGTATGAAATAGCTGTTTACCTTAATTGTAACCAATAAGGAAGTGGTATAGTATATTATAATGTACCAATAAGGAAGTGGTATAGTATATTGTGATGTACCAATAAGGAAGTGGTATAGTATATTGTGATGTACCAATAAGGAAGTGGTATTGTATATTGTAATGTACCAATAAGGAAGTGGTATAGTATATTGTAATGTACCAATAAGGAAGTGGAAGTGGTATAGTATATTGTAATGTACCAATAAGGAAGTGGTATTGTATATTGTGATGTACCAATAAGGAAGTGGTATTGTATATTGTAATGTACCAATAAGGAAGTGGTATTGTATATTGTAATGTACCAATAAGGAAGTGGTATTGTATATTGTAATGTACCAATAAGGAAGTGGTATTGTATATTGTGATGTACCAATAAGGAAGTGGTATAGTATATTGTGATGTACCAATAAGGAAGTGGTATTGTATATTGTAATGTACCAATAAGGAAGTGGTATTGTATATTGTAATGTACCAATAAGGAAGTGGTATAGTATATTGTGATGTACCAATAAGGAAGTGGTATAGTATATTGTAATGTACCAATAAGGAAGTGGTATTGTATATTGTGATGTACCAATAAGGAAGTGGTATAGTATATTGTGATGTACCAATAAGGAAGTGGTATTGTATATTGTGATGTACCAATAAGGAAGTGGTATTGTATATTGTGATGTACCAATAAGGAAGTGGTATTGTATATTGTAATGTACCAATAAGGAAGTGGTATAGTATATTGTGATGTACCAATAAGGAAGTGGTATTGTATATTGTGATGTACCAATAAGGAAGTGGTATTGTATATTGTGATGTACCAATAAGGAAGTGGTATTGTATATTGTGATGTACCAATAAGGAAGTGGTATTGTATATTGTAATGTACCAATAAGGAAGTGGTATTGTATATTGTAAGTACCAATAAGGAAGTGGTATAGTATATTGTGATGTACCAATAAGGAAGTGGTATTGTATATTGTAATGTACCAATAAGGAAGTGGTATTGTATATTGTGATGTACCAATAAGGAAGTGGTATTGTATATTGTGATGTACCAATAAGGAAGTGGTATTGTATATTGTAATGTACCAATAAGGAAGTGGTATTGTATATTGTAATGTACCAATAAGGAAGTGGTATTGTATATTGTAATGTACCAATAAGAAAGTGGTATTGTATATTGTAATGTACCAATAAGAAAGTGGTATTGTATATTGTAATGTACCAATAAGGAAGTGGTATAGTATATTGTAATGTATGAAATATCTGTTTAATTTAAGTGTAATCAATAACAAAAAGGCACTGTTTTACAGGTTACTAACAATGGCCCTATCTCTACTACAAGGAGACTTCCTGTCTAAAACTACCAACAAGACTGTACTCAGAGAGAGGGTGTATGCTGCAGCACTCGATTATTTCGCGTGAGTTTGTTGCCAAGTGATTGACCAACCTCATCGCTATCTTTATTTTTAATTTAATAAGTAATACTCAAACCACTTTATGTAGACTCCTTTAGAACCGTAAATTATGTAATTATGAAAATTTATGAAAATGTAATTAATATGGTACCAGTATCATAAGCAGCCAAAAGAACGAAAACTTGAGCATTTACTTAGATATTCTGTTAAGTATTAAGTAGAGGAAATTATTCTGGAGAAACTTGTTTCTAAAGAAACAAAGACTCAAGAATCAGAGTATAATATGCCTTTTTTCTGCTAAACACTTGATCCTTAATAAACATGTCTATAGACAGGTGTTAAAGTGTTTTGTCAAAAGTCTAAATCTTATTGAGGTACAGGTACAACTCTTTTCACTCTCCATACTGTAGTGTTACGTCAGTTTCTGTTTCTAATCACATCATTTGACTATATTGAAATTTTCCTTGTCAGTGGACCAGTTATATACCCAACCCAGCGAAGTGTTCATTTGAGAGAAGACATCATAACCATCATTAAGTTTTGGAAACAGATGCATGGGGACAAAAAGTACTTAACGCCAAGCACAGTGCCATTTGGTGGTAAGTAGAATTTATGTGTTTCATTTTCTGTTGTGGAATTCTCTTAACATAAAGAAAGATATATTATACATATATAAAGATTGCTGTTTTTGTTCGCTTCTAGTAAATGAAGATTATTATTTTTTCACTTTTTGTCTTTAATTCGACAGCATTTGATCCATGTATAATATATTGTAGAAATTGGATATTAAATGATTTGTTAAAGATGAAATAAATTGGATAAGTATATGCCTCTATCAAATTTGCAGAATTTGGCTATGATACACCATAGAATTATGAAAACTGGCTGTGGGCCTCTATCAAAATTATAGAAATTGGACGTGTGTCTCTATCAAAATAATAGAAATTGGCTGTGTGTCTCTATCAAAATTATAGAAATTGGCTGTGTGTCTCTATCAAAATAATAGAAATTGGCTGTGTGTCTCTATCAAAATTATAGAAATTGGCTGTGTGTCTCTATCAAATTTATAGGAATTGGCTGTGTATCTCAATCAAAATTATAGAAATTGGATGTGTGCCTGTATCAAAATAATAGAAATTGGATGTGGGCCTCTATCAAAATTATAGAAATTGGATGTGTGTCTCTATCAAAATTATAGAAATTGGCTGTGTGTCTCTATCAAAATAATAGAAATTGGCTGTGTGTCTCTATCAAAATTATAGAAATTGGATGTGTGCCTGTATCAAAATAATAGAAATTGGCTGTGTGTCTCAATCAAAATTATAGAAATTGGATTTATGACTCATTTGAAATATTAAGGAAAGATCTTTTTTCCAGACATATGACAAAAAAATATTAAGAGAGAAGATTGTATTCCATCCATCTGAAAAAAAACTAATGATAAAGGAATATATTATATTTATGTTGTGAAAAGTAATGATAATGAAATATTGTAAACAATTATTTTTGCACAATGGAAAATTAGTGCATCATTAATATTGGATTAATTAGCACCATGATGTACAAACACATTGACAAAATTTTTTCTATGTTGATAACATACAGAAAGTGCAATTGGCACAATCATGTGTTAATGCATTATCTTTAGCATGAAAAGATCTCAAATCAGATTACTCCTAAAATTTATATGTATTTACAGCATATCCTAACTATCTATGTTTCTCTGTTGTAAGTGATTTGTCTCCCTTGACAGGAAATATAGGTGGAGGTGATACTAACACTCTCAACATGTCTCAGAGTGCTGGCATTTCTACAGACCTGATGCAGCAGACCAAGTGGATCAACACTATCAATTCTGGCATGTCCACCTACTCAAAACGCTCCTCTAGTAAGTATTACAGGAAATTTTACCTCCTTCAGATGTAAATGTATTGTATCACTTGTCCACACAGTTAATACACAAAATCATTATGAGCCCTATGGTGTGAACATTAGGCAATACATTGCTTGTCAATTACTCTTCACAAAAATTCTATCTAAATTAATAGGAGAAATCTCTAGTGTGGATGCTGGGTAATGTGTAACTGTATCACTTTTAAGCGCACTCAATATTCCTTTTCGTTACATGTTCTGTAATAAGACCTCGCTGGTGGGATTATTTAGCACTGTACTGATCTACTGAGATCAGTTTGTAAAATTGTATTTAAGTCTATGGAGATTGCAGTGTAAGTTTTGGGAAACAATTCCGGATGTAGTTAATGCTTGTCACTATGTTTGTTGATGGTAGATGATATGATGATTGTACATGTGATAGATAAGTCCTGTTGATTTCTCATTTGTCTGATGAATCATGATATACACTGAAAAGTGACATTTACAGATGTGACATGGAGAGGTAGACATTAAGAGGTATGACAGTAAGATGTGTGACATTAAATGGTGACATTAAGAGGTATGGCGGTAAGATGTGTGACATTGGGTACTGTGACATTAAGATGTGTGACATTAAATGGTGACATCAAGAGGTATGACAGTTAAGATGTGTGACATTAAATGGTGACATCAAGAGGTATGGCAGTAAGATGTGTGACTTTTGGTGACTGTGTGTGACATTAAGATGTGTGACATTACATGGTGACATGAAGAGGTATGACAGTAAGATGTGTGACATTTAATGGTGACATCAACTGTGACATTAAGACATTAAATGGTGACATCAAGAGGTATGGCGGTAAGATTTGTGACATTGGGTACTGTGACATTAAGATGTGTGACATTAAATGGTGACATGAAGAGGTATGACAGTAAGATGTGTGACATTTAATGGTGACATCAAGAGGTATGGCGGTAAGATTTGTGACATTGGGTACTGTGACATGTGTGTGACATTTAATGGTGACATCAAGAGGTATGGCGGTAAGATGTGTGACATTAAATGGTGACATTAAGAGGTATGGCGGTAAGATGTGTGACATTGGGTACTGTGACATTAAGATGTGTGACATTAAATGGTGACATCAAGAGGTATGACAGTTAAGATGTGTGACATTAAATGGTGACATCAAGAGGTATGGCAGTAAGATGTGTGACTTTTGGTACTGTGACATTAAGATGTGTGACATTAAATGGTGACATGAAGAGGTATGGCAGTAAGATGTGTGACATTTAATGGTGACATCAAGAGGTATGGCATTAAGATGTGTGACTTTTGGTACTGTGACATTAAGATGTGTGACATTAAATGGTGACATGAAGAGGTATGGCAGTAAGATGTGTGACATTTAATGGTGACATCAAGAGGTATGGCGGTAAGATTTGTGACATTGGGTACTGTGACATTAAGATGTGTGACATTAAATGGTGACATCAAGAGGTATGACAGTAAGATGTGTGATGTTCAGTAGGTTATATTAAGCAAGTGATTAACTAATCTTTAATTTGAATCATGACAATCATTAATTACTGTGAATGAGTTTTGCAAGAACTCAAAAGACTTCCCAATGGTATTCCACTATTCTATCAGAAAAGAAAAGTTTTAGGAACATTGCATTACTAATTTAAAATTTGTTTGAATTTTTAGTCACAAAGTTGAATATAGTTACTTTGTCTTGACGGTTGAAATGCAATTGAAGTGTTGATTATTGATTACCAAAGGTGCTCATTAACATTATAATTCAATTTGTGCTATAAATAATTTTTTTGGTTTTTATTTTTTGTGGACTGTTGACCTGTATCTTGGTTTTTTATAGCCTTAATTACTACAATATCATTTATATCTCACTACAAATTAACAACTAGTGTCAGTCTTAAATTAAATCCTCGCTTGATGTGTCCCAGGTTTCATTGAATTTAGTAAACCTCGATTTGAGAAACAGATATTGTATTGTTTATATACATATAATACTACATCATTTTGCTGTTTATGGAAAAGAAGGATCAAGATATTGGGTAGTACTCTAAATAGCACAATTAACAGTACCCGGGTTGGTAATCTTACATTTAGCCCACCATCCAATGATGGTGAGCTATTCAAATCGTCCTACATCCATGGTATGTGGTCTTTCTGTCCTGCCATCAGTCCGTCAGTCCTTAAACAATTTTAGTTATCACTATTTCTTGAGAAGAACAGAATGAATCTTTCTTAAATTTCATATGTAGGTTCCCCTTGGTCCCTAATTGTGGATTTTGGGACTGATCATAGAACGAAATGGTAAACAGAAGGCCATTTTGGACTTTTTTCGATGAAGTTTATTATCGCCATATCTTGAAAACTGATGGATCACTCTCAAAATTCATATGTATGTTCCCATTGGTCACAAGTTTTACTCATCTAATTTTGAGACTGATCAGAAAAACAAAATGGCCATCAGATGGCCATCTTTGATTTTGTTATTGCCATTTCTTGAGGACTACACCATAGATCTTTTTAAAATTTCATGTGAATGTTTTCCTTGATCCCTATTGTGCCTTTTTGTTTTCAGTACTGATCAAAAAAAGAAAATTGCCTTTAGGGGGCCATCTTGGATTTTGACTTCGAAAGTTTGTTATTGCTATTTCTTGAGAAATTATCAGCTTAGATCTTTCTCATATTTCATGTATAGGTTCAGCTTTGTCTCTAATTGTGCCTGTTTGAGAATTGGACTGATCAGAAAAAGAAAATGGCTGACTGGCAGTCATCTTTTATTTTTGAAGAATAAAGTTTGCTATCCCTTTTTCTTAAGAAGTACTGAATGGATCACCCTCATATGTATGTTCCCTTTGGTCCCTACTTGTGTCTGTTATTTCTGCAAAGGAATGATAAAATTTCTTATCATTAAGAACAAAAACAAAGAGAAGAAGTGAAAATAAGGGAAAAGATCAAACTTTCATATAGCAGATAAAGATCAAACAATGGTGCACATGGGTGCCAAGATCCCTCTGGGATCTCTTGTTTGTTTGTTGAAATACTTTATCATAATTTAAAAGTACAGGAAAGTGATCATTGTTGTACGTTTTAAAATCTAAAATCATATTAATTCCTCATTTACATTTGTAGTTAAAAGTAATATTTATGTAGTCAGTCAAAATCAGTGTATACAAAATAAGATTTTAATATAAATCTATAATTCCACTCTCATAATTGGAAAAAGCTGTTTTAAGAATATCTTTGGATTTGATTGTAGACTTAAAGTCTGAGCGACCTAATGGTAGGTGGTAATGCACTGTATATATAACACATTTGCTCCTCAGATTATTTATCGCGTTCTTCTAGAGGGGACTAAAGTCTAACATCTTATCAGTTTATCAGCTTGTCTGTCCATCAGTCTGTCAGGATATCAGCTTGTCTGTCCATCAGTCTCTCAGTTTATCAGCTTGTCTGTCCATCAGTCTGTCAGGATATCACTCTGTCCATCAGTCTCTCAGGATATCAGCTTGTCTGTCCATCAGTCTCTCAGGATATCAGCTTGTCCATCAGTCTGTTAGGATATCAGCTTGTCTGTCCATCAGTCTGTCAGGATATCAGCTTGTCTGTCCATCAGTCTCTCAGGATATCAGCTTGTCCATCAGTCTGTTAGGATATCAGCTTGTCTGTCCATCAGTCTCTCAGGATATCAGCTTGTCTGTCCATCAGTCTCTCAGGATATCAGCTTGTCTGTCCATCAGTCTGTCAGGATATCAGCTTGTCTGTCCATCAGTCTCTCAGGATATCAGCTAGTCTGTCCATCAGTCTCTCAGGATATCAGCTTGTCTGTCCATCAGTCTCTCAGGATATCAGCTTGTCCATCAGTCTGTTAGGATATCAGCTTGTCTGTCCATCAGTCTGTTAGGATATCAGCTTGTCTGTCCATTAGTCTGTTAGGATATCAGCTTGTCTGTCCATCAGTCTGTTAGGATATCAGCTTGTCTGTCCATCAGTCTGTTAGGATATCAGTCTGTCTGCCATCAGTTGATCCCTGGCTATTGTCACCTGTAAGTGCTAAATAACCATGTATTAAAGCACCTGCTGGGCTGACAGTGTAGTATACTGAAGTAAGCTTCCTTGCTGTACTATATCAATCTCTACAAGAGTTGTCCTTCCTTAACACTCTCAATACACTAAAATATCATTATATACTGTCTCTCCTGTACTACCTTAACAAAATGCTGATCACTTAAACAGAACACACGTTTGAGATACCAGTATACGCAACCCTTGATTTCAGTATGTAGGTAAATTACGTACTGATCCAGGCGGGAATGGAGAATGGGTTGAGGATAAAAACTGCTGACAACAAAGTTGTCAAAACCTTTTGTCATTCACTTAAGTTAAACGGAAACAAGGGTTGAAGTTAAACGGAAACAAGGGTTGAAGTTTAACGGAAACAAGGGTTGAAGTTAACCGGAAACAAGGGTTGAAGTTAAACGGAAACAAGGGTTGAAGTTAAACAGAAACAAGGGTTGAAGTTTAACGGAAACAAGGGTTGAAGTTAAACAGAAACAAGGGTTGTATATATGGCACTCCAATAGATTTAAGACTATTTTAAAAATATTTTTTTCTCTTTCTCACTATTTACTCAGTACTTGCTTTTACCGTAGTACATTACTTATTGAAACTTTTTATATTTACTCTTTTGATTAGATTTGTTTAAAGTATTTCCTTAACTTATTCAATTCTTTTGTTATTTCCTTATATCACACTAAGCAGAGCTTTAACTCTACATACAAAGTACTTTGGATGTGATAGATTGCTGTAGGGTTGTACTGCTCAGTATTTTCTGCTTGTTTTTTTAACATTTTGATCTATATATTACTTTCTTTAATCTTGAATACAGCAATTAAGATGTACGACAGAAAGTAGAGTGTTAAGTGAAGATAAAAATGTTTCACATATTGATTGTTTTTGTGCTGACAGGTAAGTTTTATACCTGT